CCCAAGCCTTCCGCACCCTACTGTCGCAAAGTCTAAACCTGCGCCAGCCTGGAGGTCCTGCAGTGCCGAGGTATCACCTCAGGCATGGGTCACCGATTCCATGCCCTGCCTCACAACCCGAAGACAGCCACATCGTACATGCAAGTATGTATGTATGTATGTATGTATGAAATATGTATATACACAAAGCCGCCAAACCACATGACCTGCCCCAGAAATCTTGTATGAAAGAAAAAACACTCATCCTGGCTCCCTGTGGGCTGGTGTGGAGCATCATGAAACCATGGGCCCTCGATCCGGGCACGATCGCCCCATCTACCGGTTCTACGACGCGGCGACGACTCCCCAAGAACTCCCTGATCAGCGGTTTAGGGTTTAGGGTTTAGGGTTTAGGGTTTAGGGTTTAGGGTTTAGGGTTTAGGGCTTAGGGTTTACGGTTTAGGGTTTTTTTTTTTTGCCACCCGCCTAGCTGACACTGTGGCCACATTGCAGGGACTAGTTCCGGGAAAGTTGTGCGTTCGGAGAAGAAATGCCTTTAAAGCCGGCATACACATCTGAGGAAATACGATGGGGATCTTACAAACAGGGGAGAAAAACCCAAACTCACTTGAAACCCTCATAGGGATGCAGCTAGAAACACCATTCAAAACCCCGGCCCAGTAGATCCCCATCTCTTCTCAGGAGAAAGATCCCAGGTCCCCGAAAGGCCCCGGGGGGTTCCCATCACTTTGGCACATCTGTCCTGAACAGCGAAACACTCCGACACCTTCATTCGACCACAGCCATAGCTAGTTCCCCATCACCCGAGGTGTTTCGCCACTCTACAGGAGACATCTCAAAGGTTTGTTGCCCAAGCTTCCTCTGCCTGGCCACATCGGCTCTTGTACAGTGGCAGCTTAGGAAGCCCATCAGCAACTGGAAAATTTGCAGGCCTATGCCAAAGGCCCGAAAAGCAGTTGGGTCCAATGTTTCATGGGACAAAGGGGCCCTCGAAGCGACATCGTTCCAGGAGAAACCTGCACCAACCCCATAGCACCACACAGATCCCAACGATACTGAACACCACCACCGAAACAACCAAAATACCACATCGATCCAAAACAGATGTGAACAAGCTGGTCAGTATCGCACGCAGGGCCTTCCTAAAGGATTTGTGCACACTCTCACAGTGAAACGGCTTGGGAGTGTGGATTGTTGTCACGTATCAAGGTTCTCATAACAGAGGACTAACCAAAACCACTCTCCAAAGTTCCCACACTCCCATGTCTATGTACATCAGTTTTGGCTGGAATCGCATACAGGGCTCGCTGAAGACAGCTTTGACAGCACAAGTTTCAGGTATAGCGCAAAAGCAAAGGTGTTTCAGAGAGCCCAACCCAAAGGCTGTATGGACAAGTCCTGCGAGATACTCCCGCCTGCACCTCAGCAATCCCCAAACCACATTGATCCAAACAATGTGACCAGCCAGTACCCAAGCAGACCACAAACCACATACATCCAAACAATGTGAAAAAGGGCATCACGGCGTTCCGTATCTCGCTATGCACTGTTTCGCATGTAAGTTGCAGCCCTTACTTCGGATTTGGACTTGAAATGTGGGGCGTCGGTCTTGGTCAAAAGCGGGGGTTATATGCATCACAAAGCAAATCTAGAGCTCAGGAACAAAGGTATCAGGCACAGACCTCGCCACACATCTTGCACACGGATTCATCATGCAGAGCCAACAAGAAAACGTACGCATGCAGGTTCTCAACAGAAAATGTACGCACGCAGGTCCACGACAGAGGTTGAGGTACTTGCACACGCACTCCAGGGTTCTCATACCCTAAAAGATCCCAAGACGTGCATGCATTTGAATTGGTGGAGTACTAGACCATACTGCTCATGTGTCCAAATTCTGAATTCGGGAATTAGCGTGCTACAAATTCGTCATTCTCTAATTACGTCAAATTCTCTAATTACGCGCATCACTCTCAGCTCCTCCCCTTCGAGTTCACGTGCTAGCCATGCCAGTCAGCGTCAGCGACTCCCGGGTCATTCTCTCACGGATTCAGAATGAATTCATCGAAGAGTGAATTCGCTGAATTCCAGACTTGTCTGTAGGATTCGGCGCGTCTCAGCACGCAGTAGGTCCAAAAATGTGCTGTCTCTCCCTCGACAAAGTGAATTCGCCAAATTCCAGACTTGTCTTGCATGCAGTAGGTCCAAACGTGCTGTCACCATCCAGAAGGTGTCCCACTCAGAAAGCGAACTCTCAGAATGCACAAGGTGACAGCATCCTCATTGCGCAGATACATGCACCAGTGCCCAGCACCATTGCTTTCTGTCTGTCCAGCTTTACGTGGTTCACCCACCGGGATCCCGAGAAATGGTTCTGCCTCTGCTATGAAGCCACGCAGCCTCTTCACTGGTGTAATGGGTATTTCCAGTTTCCTGTGGCTTACCCACAGGGATTCCGACAAATTACTCTTCTTCTGACATAGAGCCCTCCTCATCGCCATTATCGTTGTAGCATTGGCCTCCAAAGGCCCGGGCCACACAGAGATGCTGGGAGAGGCTCATCCCCGATCAATTTGATCATCCTCGCCAAGGACAGTGCGTGTTCTTTCACAAGTACCCATGGATATTCCTGTCCAAGGTCATTCAGGTACTGTCGTTCTCTCTCTTGGCCGAGTGTACCCTTGAGCAACAACAGGAAGAAAGCCTTGAGTGGTTTGTGCGGAAGTTGCGCTGAGTCAAGCCACAAACCCCAGATGTATTCTAGCTGCTTGAAGATCAAATCATCCAGGCTTTCACAATCAACAGAACCATGATGCAGACTGGTGAAATCTAGCAGCTGATCGGAGACAGCAAACATAGTCTGCCATCGCAACTTGCGGCTTTCAAAGCGGTGACCCGCAACAGCTTGATCCAGTTTCTCGACAAAGCGGTGGAGACCTTTGTACCCCCTTGAATCAAGCAGAGAGCCGAATTCGGATTTCAATGCTGCTAGCTCCTTGTCCTTGACCCCGAGTTTCGTCAGTTGTTCGTGGACGAGTCCAATCAATCCAGCTCTGGTCGCGCCACATACATGACCTGAGATTCTTGGTCAATGCAGACCTGCAGGAAAGGATTGTTCTCAATCTCTCGGGGATCCAAGAAGAGAAGCACCAGTTCAAGACCATAGGGCCCGAAGAAGTTCCGTCTTCCATCGACGAGCTGAAACTCGGGCCGAAACAAGACATGGCCATACTCCAATGCAGTACAACGTTCTCTTCCAGAAACTTCTGTGCGATAGTGTGAACGAGCAGGGACTTTCTCCAGTAGCTGACGCCAATAGGGTATGCTCGTCACTCGATCCTGTTGAATCAATTGGGGCCAGGCAGCTTGCAGCTGCCCCATGGGCAGGCCCGCTTGAATCAGGTCACGTGCTATACTTCGGAAGAGACGATCAAGAGAGTCATCCATATGGTGTTCAGCGCATCCATCGATGTACATCACTCCACGTCTGAAACAACTACCTCGCTCATCCGAAGGGTCATACTCAATTTGGCTGTGATTGTCTGACGCTAGCTTTGACCATACAATCGCACGCTCTTCGTCAAATCCTGCATTGTCTAGGCCAAGATCATGTCTTGTATGAGGACCACAAACATGATGACCGATGCAGGCTGTGTGCTGCTGGTTTGCGTGGCATTTCCAGATTCGATTCTGCATCCCATGGTCCTTCATATAGGTGCGTTTGACTTCAACTGTTCCACCAACACGAGCTAGTTCTGCTCGAAGATCTCGCGCACCACCACGTGCCAAGAAGTCCAGGATGGAAATGTTCTCTCCATCAATTTCAAGCTCCAACTTGCACCAGGATTTCATTTCCTCATGAGACCCTTCTAGCGGCTTCTCCACCCCCAAAGGAAACGGACAGTCTGGGCCTTGTTCCCTGAAGTCACGCAGTTCTTCCATTTCTGCGCAGAATTCGTGTGATGGGAACAGGCCTCTAGTGTCCATCCCGGTTGCCGCTATAGCCACAAGCCATCTGGCTAGAGGACTTGCCTGTGGCAAGGCTGGAGCTGTGTCTATCCCTCTCTGCAGGATTTGCCTCTGAATTTCATCCCAATCGAGCTCCCTGTGGGTGCTCTCAGTGGTATCAGAGTCTTCTTGCAGGCTCTCCTCCTTCGAGAGATCGTCTTCGGACTGTACGCCTTCATCTTCACTTCGGTGACCCGGCTTCGTGCCTTCCATTGTTCTTCAATTTTCCGCCTGCGGACACAACAGTGAGATAAAAGCTTGAGCCATTTGGTTTAGGGTTTAGGGTTTAGGGTTTAGGGTTTAGGGTTTAGGGTTTAGGGTTTAGGGTTTAGGGTTTAGGGTTTAGGGTTTAGGGTTTAGGGTTTAGGGCCGTTTAGGTTTAGGGTTTAGGGCCGTTTAGGTTTTGGGTTTAGGGCCGTTTAGGTTTTAGGGTTTAGGGTTTAGGGTTTAGGGTTTAGGGTTTAGGGTTTGGGGTTTAGGGTTTAGGGTTTAGGGTTTAGGGTTTGGAGCCACCCAGTGACGTTCGGCCAAGGACTGCCGAAGCATCTCGCACCGGTCCTGCGCACACTTTGGCCATGCACGCACCATTCTGCGCCCGATTCAATGTTCAGCTAGGGGACTCCTGAGTCTGCAGGCCGCACAAAATTGCCCGCGATCCCTCTTTTCCCTCGTGTAGCGGTTTGCAAGAGCCTCACATCTTGCATCTAAACCTCACGGGCATCCTGCCACTCGCTGGCGCGCCGGCGTTCGGCCTGTAGGTCCTGCAGGGGACTCGGAGCTTTTCTGGCGGATGTGTGCAGGCCACCTGTTGGTACAGTCTTCGAGGCTAAGTTGCCGAAAGCTTGATCCTTGCATGATTCAGGGTGTTCGAACGACTTTTTCTGGCCACAGGGCGGTTGGCACTACAAGGCCAGCCTTCACTAAAAGACTAACCACTGCAAGCATCCAGGGCACAACGCTGGATGCAAGCAAGAAGTGCTGAATTTGCTATTGACGCGACCCATATCGGCACCACACACTTGCAACCACTACTTTTCAAAGGACCCTAGCAGACCCCACCTCGCTGACGTCTGAGCGGATGCTCGTTTCAAGGGACTCCTGGCAACCCAAGCAGAAGCAGACGGGAGGTGGATCCCGGCATGATTTCCAACACAGACTCCAAGGCATACGTGTGGTAAGAGTCTGGTTCTGTTTTGACAGTGCCCCCGCACTTGCCGGAGATACTGGGGTTGGGGGGGGGGGGGGGGCACAATCTACACAACCCCTTCGCCCATCAGCCCACGCGACTGCCAAGCACACGCATCAAGCGGCGAGCGACTCGGATTCTGCAAGTGATATGTCTGCACGCAGAAGGCTTTGGCTGCGCTTCGAAGGCATCAGGACCAGAACGTTACAGATTCTATGTTCCGTGTCGTCCACATCGACTGTGGAGCTACTAAATCACCTCTAGACTGGCCAGGTCTGCCATCCCATGGTAGCATGGGTCAGGAGGACTGTTTCGTGCAACGCACTCAGATGTGTAATTCACTGGCAGGATCTGGCAGGGGGATGGGATGATGCATACGCCACAATGCGATGAGACCCTTAACCCACAAGAACAGAACGGCCCTTGAACAGTTCTGAAAGCACGAGCTCTCAAACCTTTACGCATCCGCCCTGACTTGTTGACCCCGAGTCCTGGAGCTGCCGATTGGAGTTCTCGAGCTGCTTGGTAAGCTGATTCACCTGCAACAGCAGTGCTTTAAGGTGCTTAAGGCTTGAGACCCGCGTGTGGAGACCGACAGCCCTTGGACAAACAACATGAGAACCATGCAGCGAAGCCTTGCCCTCGAGCTCGGCGAGCTTGCCTCAGGGGATCCACAGCCAGTGTTCCGCGCTCCCACATGCTGAGCCACAGCACGTGCGTCCCAGAAGTCACATCCCAAGAATATCCCCAACCATTCCCGCTTCCATGCCCAGTACAACCGCTTGCAACCCAGTGGCTGGAACGCACACTCACTTCCGAGCCGTCGTTCTTGGACTGATCCAGGGACAGCTTTTAGGAGTCTCGAGGCTACGAACAAGGATGCAAAGGGTTCGGAGCTCGAGCGACACAACCGACCACCATTTCCTTACTGTTGGTTAGCAGGGACTGGGGGAATGAGGTACCCTGTATAATCCCTTCAAGTGTATATATATATATAATACTCTTATATTATATTATATTATGTTATGTTATACTATATTATATGTATATACAGGGTACCTCATTCCCCCATTCCCTACCAACCAACAGTAAGTTTCCCAGCGGTTTCGGCCTTCCGCGACTCGGAGGCTTTGTTCTCCAGCGCCATGAGCTTGGTCTCGAGCTGCTTGACCCGGGTGCTCTTGGACAGAACTTCCTGGGCTTCAGAGCACATGCAAAGGACTTTTGGGGGGCGACGAAGCAGCTCCTACAAGTAATTCTCATAAGCAATTCAAGTAGCCAGCACCCTAAGCCCTAAGCCTCACCCCCAAGCCCTGTCTCAGGAACCTGCCGACCTGAAAAACCGCCGAGCTGCCGCTCGCGATGCCTTAAGCTGCGAGAGCGTCAGTTCGATCTCCTTCTGGGCAGCAGCTCCTGTGAGGCGGCGTTCCCTGTTCAACGTTCGACCCGCCTAAGCCTCACAAGTCCCCGCACCCTAAGTTGTGCGCAACTTTTTCTCCCCCCCTTTTATCTACCCTTGTGGGGGGTGAGCGCCTGAGGCCTGGAATCGCGAAGCACGGCTCTCGGCAGTCTTCAGCTCACCCTGAGAGACAGCAGAGGAGGACCATTCGGACCCTTCGGCAGGAACACGCGGGAGGCACTCCTCCAGCTACTGAGAGTTCCTTGAGCCTGGCCCGCTCTCGCAGTCCGGAGCAGACCCTCCTGCCTCGAGGGTACGGATCCGCTTGGACTGCGAGGCCACCTCCGACCTCAGCGGATGTCGGATGACGCCCACTTGGGGCGGGTGGCGATGTCTCATACTTATGATTCAAGGGACCAAAGGAGGGACCCTTATAAGGTACCTTAAGGGTTCTTTCGGGATATGCAGGGGCTACTTCGGTATATAGGGATAAGGTATATAAAGGGTTATATAGGGGACTAAGATTAAGGGTCTCTTCTAGGGTCCCTCCTTATACCCCTATCATGATATGTGACGGTACATCTAATATTGCCTATACACTGCAATCACACGGTGCCTCGTCTTGGGTCCAGGGTGTTAGTGAACCCTATAGCCTCTACAGCCTTACCTCCCAACAACGCCGCCTGAGATCGCCCGCGAAAATTCAGACATTGCCCTCCCGCCCCCTTTTCAAGCTTAACCGCTGCGAAGTGCACCGAAAATGTCAGCGAACCACTGGGCCTCGCGCTCCAGGGCTCGCAACCTCTCTTTCGACTCGCTTGAGGCACTCGAGCCTCCACTGCCTATCAGCGCGGGGGGGGGGGAAGGGGGAGGGGGCGCTGATGCTGTTGGGTTAACTTCAGGGCTCATGGTAGAGCACTACCCATTGGGAGCGCGGCCCGAGGTCATGGTGCCAATAGTCCGATGCAACCTGCCCAGCATGCCGGGCTTCCTACTTGCGTCAGATGGTGTAGGGTGTGCTTACCTCCGGAGCGGAGGGTGACCCTTCAAAAACAGAACTACCTTCAGAAAAAGGCAAGCAAACGCAACAGATTTCGAAAAATAGAACCCGGGAAACGTGCTCCATCCAAAGCATCTCCTGGCTACCTTCTGCTTCTTCTGTATTCTCCCATATTCAAATTTGTGTCCTTTCTGTTACTCTTTCATTTTACAGGTCAACTGATAAAGTCCTCCATATTTTTATAGCGAATCTTAGGACCTTCCACATGTTTGCATTGGCTGAACATATCTCCTCTACAAGTTTTGCTCCACATATGCATTTCAAATAGAATGTCAGGGAAAGCCTCTGTACTTCCAATCTGTTATGTTATATTTCAATACGGCAGACAAGCTTGATTTCTTCTATGTCTTCCTTTTTAGCCATGCTTCAATAAAAAAAACCTGCGTTTTTCTCATTTACTCGGAGAGCCTTGGTTTCCTCTATATGTTGGAAGCCCATTTCCAAACCCTGGGCGATGGCAGTTTTCTGCTTGCCACGGTTTCCTGCCGTGCTGGGCAGGGCACGTGGAATGTGGCTTCAAAATACCCGCGGTCAGGGTGGCCATTCGTGCATAATGTCATTTTGTCTGTTCGTATTCGTATACAGGAGTGAAAGGACCTGAAACATACGTCTCCCCCCCCCCCCTTCCCCGCCCCCCCACACGCCTTCTGCCAATGTGACAGATCTGTGCAAAAGATAATCACTGGACGATGACGGTTGTTGTTTTGCTTCCGTGGACTTTACTAGGACTTCTCGCAACAGCCCCAAAGCGAGGAACCCAGAAGCCAAAAAGCCGGAGGTTTTTGCCACCTGCTCTCCGGCTTTGGGGTTTCGGGCTTGTGTTAAGCACTCTTCGGTTTGGGGTTTAGGATTACTTGCTGGTGATTTCAATGTTGTTGATGGGTATCCTGAAAACTTCTCATACGCCCTTTGCCATGAGCCCTTTTACCAAACCTCCCGGCAGGGCTAAGGCCTGGACCGCACCCTCACAACTCCTGCTCCTCCCCAAAAGAAGAACTCACAAGACTACAGCCCCTCGTGAGTTTCGCCCTGGCAATACTCCACCTGAAAAAAGCACAGACGCAGGAACCCCTGAGGCTCGCACTCGAGAGCCATCCGATCTTTCGAAGCACTCGACGCGTTCGAGCCTCTGATCATGTTGCTGTGTTGGGTTGAGCAAATAGGGCCAAACGTAAGGAGGAGGTTGCAGCTGTCTTTTTATAGCTCCCATCGGCCATGAACAGTGGGCAGCCAAGCAGTTGCGCCAGGTAATTCGGGGGCGCGGCCCGATGTCATGGTGCCAATGTTCCGATGCAGCCTCTCACAGACATGTTGAAGAGTCCCTAGTTCCGGGCTGATGCGGAGCCTGCCAACTTCAAAGTTGGAAGGCGATGATTGATCGGCATGGGTGCTTGGCACTTGCCTACAGCCCACATGCATCCCCGTCCTGGGGGATAGACGTGGCGAATTACAGGCCATGCATCAAACTCCTATTTTTAATCTAGTCTTAGTGTTCCATATCCCCGATGACCACTCACGCCACAACGCTCGCAATTCCAAGGGCCACATCCCGAGAAAATTACACGAGA